GCAGCTTTAAGAAAAGGTCTTTTTTTTTTTTTTTTTTTTTTTTTTGGTCCTTTTAAGCACAGCCACAATACAGTATCACATCTTAGAAACTGACCGTTCCAGCAGAGTCCCCATTTCCCCAGTTTTTCATGAATGACTTTTTATATTTGATCTGTTCAAAAAAGAATCCATGTAAGGGCCACAGACTACTTTGGGTTATTCGTCCCTTAGTTTGTTTGTTTGTTTGTTTGGTTTTTTTGGTGCCGGGGATTGAACTTGAGCCTTTGTGCTTGCAAGGCAGGTGACAGAACCACTGAGCCAAATCCCTGGCCCCTCCCTTAATTCTTAAGTCTGTGCCATCTTCCTTCCCCTCCCCGTTTTCCTGACGTCATTCACATGTTGAGACTAGGTCAGTGGAGCGCTGGGGGCTGTCAGAGGCTCTGTGGTGGGGCAGCTGGGCTGTACACACTCGTCCTGGGGAATGGTCTGTCGTGGCCAGGCCACCGTGGGCGGGGTTTGCAGAGTGCCCCCTCAGCAAGTGGCAGTCAGCTGAGGAAAGAAGTCTTGGACACACTGGCTCTGGCTTTGTGTCCTGCAGTCTGTGTGCTGCAGTACTCTCTGCCCCTGTGTAGACTTGTGTTTCCTCCTTGTACACGGGAGCTTTGACTGCTGACCTCGGGTTCACTGTGAGGGTCAAGTGGATTCCTGTGAACTGCAAGGTGCTGTGCTGGGTCGTGGCAGCCATGGGTGGCAGCAGGCCGAGAGTACTCTGGGAAGCCAGAGCGCCCCTAACTGCCTGGCTGCCCTGAGTTCCTTGGATCCCTAGCTTTGTAAAGCCCTCCCCAACCCTATCATACCCTTCCCCTGGCCAGACCTTTAATCACTGGGGGGATGTGTTTTGTTTTTGTTTTTCAAGGTGATTAAAACCCCTCTGATTTTTGTCGACCCTAATCGTAGTCCAGCTGGCCCAGCTGCGACCCCTGCACAAGCCCAGGCTGCAAATGCCCCAAGGAAGGCCCAGGCCTCCAGCAGCACTGCCGGGAGCTCCTCCTCCGAGAGCGAGGATGAGGATGTGATCCCCGCTACGCAGTCCTTCATGCCTGGTGAGCATGGCCCTGCTGCACCTGTCTGGCCCAGCTGGGAAGAGCAGCCAGGACCACCAAGCACTAAGGATAGGACTCTGAGCCTGCACTGCCAGCTGAGGAGGGGCTGGCTCAGACTTCTCATTCTGAGGGGTTTCTTTCCAAGGCTTCTCTGTGCTGGCTCCAAGCGGTGGAGGGGCCCAGACAGATAGCAGCTGGGAACTGCAGATCAGGATGAGCTCCGTAACAAGGGACTGACTGGAGCGGGCCGTCAGGGTGATGGAGACCTTCCCCTCCCTGGTGGCATGTAGCAGAGACATTGGAAGGGGGAATTTCATCTGTCTGCAGAAGACAAGCCAAATCTGGGTTTCCCTTGACTTCTAAGAATCTGATTCTACCAATAATACCACCAGAAAATGGTTAATATTACTATTGTTATTATACATTTCACTGAGGAAACATTACCCATTAAGGTAATTAAGAAATACAGGTTAGCACAAAAGAAAAAACAGGACCTGTAACCCCGCTGCCCAAGCTGTTACTGCTGACAGTCACACCTGTTAACTTGACCTGACGCCCACGGTGCACCTGTGTGTCTGCAAAGCAAGACTACGTGGAACTCAGTGCTCAGTCATCAGGGGGTGCATTGGGACACCGGTGGGGTTTTGTCATCACAGTCACACTGTGGTTCCTGCTGGCTGCAAAGTAGCACTGTTCATTCCGCCAGTTCTGTGCTGGAGAAAGGGAAGAATCCTGTTTTGGGCTGTGAGAAGCTCTCCAGCATGCACAGCACCTGTGGGAGGCCAGAGCCTATGCAGATGCCCCAGCTGATGCTCCCGAGAGACCATGCTAGCTGCAGAGGTCTCTGACGCCCGTGTTCCAGCATTGCCCGGGAGTAGCATCCTGATCAGCTGAGAGGAGGGGGGATGGGGAGAAAGCCTGGGGCCACTGCCACAGCAGCCCTTTGATGGCCCTGAACCTTGTTAAGTGACACAGTGACAGGCCCTGACTGGCAGGCTTAGGTGGGGAAGTAAACAGGCTCCTTCCTCCATATGGCATGGGCTCAGTTGTGTGGTCCATCCCCAGGAAAGGCTAGTGACTGCTAGGGGGCCATGGGGCTTCTATGCCCTGAGGTGTCTCCTGTCCTCCGTTTCAGCTGTTAAAACAGAGGTGGTGACTATGTCCACTGCCTCCCCAAGGATGGCCCCCAGAGCCAGCAACACCCAGGAGTCCAGTGGGGTATCACCGGGCCAGAAACAGGAGGCAGCCACCGCTCAGGTACCTGGAACAAGGGAGGGCAGTGCCGCCCAGTGGGCAGGGGCTCGCATGCTCTCTCCACGTCGTCATGTACTGTGGGGGGACCGCAGTTGCTCTCCCAGCCCCCAGATCTTAGCATTGTCAGGGAGTGTCCAGGCGGGACCAGCTGTGCTTCTGGGGTCCCTTGTCAAGCTTTTTCCAGCATGGTCGGGCTTTTATCATTTAGTTTTGAATGCCATAAACAGAAGTTGTTGTTTTGTTTTGTTTTGGTTTGGTTTTTTGGTACCAGGGATTGAACTCGGGTCTTTGTGCTTGCAAGGCAGGCCACCAAACCACTGAGCTAAATCCCTGGCCCCAGAAGTTGTTGTTTTTTAATGTTTTAGAATAATGACTTTAGCATTCTTCCTAGCCTTCTTCATTTTCAGTGCATTGTTATTTGGCTTTTGCTTGATTCTAAAAACTCATTGGGTAAGTTTCATGGTCATAGTTCAGATGATAAAACGGAGCGCACAGCCCCATCCAAAGGCCATGGCTTGACCAGGGTTGGGCAAGGCCAGCTTTCCTGGCTTCCGTCTTATCGAAAAAGAATCCACTACATAGCACCCCCTTCTTCTGAGGGGGCAGGACAAAGCTGTAGTGCACTGGGGAGTTGGGCATCACGAGCTATAGCCCAAAAAAGAGCTTCTGGGAGCATGGGTGCTGTATGGGAGGCCAGGCTGTGATCACCATACCCAAAGTCCTGAATCTAGCAGCCACTTGGCCAGCAGATCATGTTAAGCATCTGTCCTCAACAAGCACTGAGGCTGTAGCAGGAACAAGGCAGGGAGGGCCCTTGCCCACATGGATACTGTGGCAGGAGGAAGCCATAACATGAGAGCCAAATGGGAATAGTCCTTGCAACTGCTAGGTTCTGTGAAGGAAAGAGATAATATAAACTATAAAATAATGGGATAACCTGCTTTAATAAGGATAGGCAGGGAAGGCCTCCCCGAGGAGGGCAGGGCAGCCCCAGCTTCCAGAACCCTCTGGAGAAGCATGTGGGGTAAGAAGAACCAGAAAAAGCAGGAGGTAGTGCTGGGTCAGCAGGAAGGTGGCCAGGTATGACGGAGCCTAGAGTCTCTCAGCGAGGCTCATGACCACTTCCTTCCTAAGTTCTCTCTCCCTAACTGCTGGCGAGAACAGGAAATAGGAGTGTATCCAGGGACCCCCACAAAGGCGCCGACTGAGTGGTGGGTCTTGAGCTGCTTCTCTGCTTTCAGCTGGAGCTGGTTCTGTGCTCTTTGGGAGTACGGTGATTTGTTAATGACCTGATGCCTGGCACCCATCTTTCTGCCATGGTGACAGTCGTCCCTTCACCCTCCATCCCCAACTCCAACCCATGACTTGTCCTACTGAGCTCTCTCTGATGCCAACCAAACAGGATCTGACCAGGCATGGCATAGATGCATCTGAGAATTCAGGAGTCTCAGGGCTGCCTCTCACTGTCCACAGGTAACAAAGAGGAATCTGGCTTCTCTCCCACTGACTCAGGCTGCCCTAAAGGTCCTTGCCCAGAAAGCTGGTGAGGGCCAGCCTTCAAGTGAGGTGAGCGTGGGAAGCCCAGGGGATCAGACCTGCCTGGCCTTGCTCTTAAAGGGTGCCACCTCCCGGCCCCACCAGGGATGGCACAAGCATGGCCCTGAGTCCTGCACCAGCCCTTGTCTTTGCCTCCCTGGGCCGGTGGGCTGGTGGGCTGGTGGCCTGGCATGTAAGAAGGAATGACAGTACCCAGAGCTGTGGGCCAGGTGTGGCCCAGTGCATAAAGTGCCCAGCCCTGCTGCTGTGCTCAGCAAGCACCAACCTGCTTCACCTGACCATCCCCTTTCTCCTTTCACCAAATTAGGCTGGCAGTGCCGCGGGGACACTGCCTGTGACACGTACCCAGAGCATCCCTGTCCAGGCCAGAGTGACCAACAAGCTCAGAAAACCCAAGCCGTCTGATGGCCAGCAGAGCACGGTCACCCCCTTGGGCCTCCCCAAAGCCAAAGCCCCTGGAAACTCGGACAACAGTGAGGAGAGCAGTGACAACTCTTCAGGAAGTGAGGATGATGCCGAGGGACCTGCAGCGACCCAGTCAGCCTCCAGGCTGGGTGAGGGTGCCAGGAGGGCCAAGCCCGGTATTGGGGTGGGGCTAGGTAGGGGTGCTGCAAAACCCTAGACCCTGGCCTCAGGGTCCAACCTGATCTGAGATCTTGACCACATCATCCTTGGGCCTCAGTTTACCTACCTATATTATTCTATGAGGAATTCTGTCCAAATTATTTCAAAGACCTAACTTGGCCAGGGATTTAGCTAGCAGCACTGTGCCTGCCTGGCAAGCATGAGGTCCTGAGATTGATTCCCCCATACAAAAAAAAAGACTGAACTCAGCTGTTGGACCACTGGCAGCTTGTTGGTGTCAGGCTCCCCTTACTGACCCCCAAATCCCAGGACTATGTGCTTCCCCCATAGGGGAAAGCAGGTAAGTGTAAGTAAGGCCTCAGGAATTAGCAGTGAAAGCTGTGGCAGGGAATAATAAACAGCCTTGGGTGGGAAGTGGGGAGCATAGAGAGACCAGGGCATCTCAGCCCCTTCTGGGGACTCTGCCCTTCCCAGCTGACAGACCACTAGGGACACCCAATAGGATATGTTTGCTTCTCCAGCAGGTTCATCGCCCTCCAAGAGGGAGACCTTGGTGGAGGAGACCACCGCAGAGTCCAGTGAGGATGAGGTGGTGGCGCCCTCCCAGGTAAGTAGGGTTTAGGGTGCAGTCTTGGATGCAGGCCTTCCCTGAGGTCTTCCTGGAGCCCTGAGCAAGTTCCTACCTACAAGGCAGCAAGTGTGGCCCAGCCAGCAGAATAGAGCCCCCTGGGCCAGGTGTGGCTGTGCACACCTGTAATCCCAGCCAGAAGATCTTGATTTGAGGCCAGCCTGGGTTACATAGCAAGTTCAGGAGAGCTAAACTGCCTGGCGAGATGCTGTCTCAACCAAAAGAGATTGGAGCCCCGTTTCCTATCCTGAGACACCCACCCCTGCCCACCCTTTCTGTGGAACTACAGGTAGTTAGCCCTTGGGGTCTGTGGAGAGGATTCACCCGAATTCTAGGTGGTACCCAAACAAAAACATTCCCTAAGCCAGGCACGGTGGCACAAGATTATAATCCCACCACTTAGGAGTCTGAGGCAGGAGGATCACAAGTTCAAATCCTGCCTGGGCAATTCAACAAGACAATGTATCAAAATAAAAATTAAAAATAGCTCAGTGTAGAGCCCCCCACACCCGGGTTCAGGCCCCCAGTGCTGTAAAGTTACTATCTGTACATAGCGTCTGCTAGCCATTTTCCATTTGCGTTATAAGAAATTTCCTTTTTGAATGTGCCTAAAATTTATATTAATCAAAATAGTTCAAGAAACATGTACCAAGAAAAGGACATTCTTGTCCTTAGTGCCCACCCCGTCCCCAGGCCCAGCCTGGCCGGAAGTCCCAGGGCTCACGGCCTCTTTCACACTGGACTTCTTCAGTCTCTCCTCTCAGGTTATGTGACCCCTGGGCTGACCCTGGCCAACAACCAGGCTTCAAAAGCCACTGCCAGGCAGGACTTGAACCCCTCAGTTTCCTCTGCTCCACTCTCCAAAGATGACCCAGCTGGCAAGCAGGCAGCCGAGCCCCAGCACACAGCAGCCACCGTGTCCCCTAAGTCAGGTGAGTCGTGGGCCCTTCCTCTGTTCCCACAGCAGTCCCACCGGCATGGGCATCCCTGCCACCAGTGCCTCTCCAAGCTGCCCTCCTCTAAGTACCTATGAGAGCTGGTGCGGCTGTAGGGTGACTTCTGCTCTAGAGGAAGCCATGTCTTTTGTCTCTGTTGACTTTTTCCCTGCAAATGGGCTCATGGTGTGGGGTGTGGGGACTCAGCATGGCTCAGACTGCCTCAGGCTAGGAGCCCTGTGTGGGGGAGTCAGTTCCTGACCCCAGGGCTTCCCTGCCTCACTAAACCTGGACAAGCCTCTGGCTACTCTGTGTCCTAGCCATGTGAGGCAGTAGCCATTCCACCCCAGGTGTCACACTCAGGATGCAGTCACATGTGTTGGAGGGCAGACGGAGGGCCTGGGGGGCACTGGCAGTCAGACTCCTGAGTCTGGACGGAGAAATTTTGCATGACGTGGGATGCTTTCCTGGGCTTCTCCTTAGGCTAGACACTTCCAGGAACAAACCAAGCTCCCTTGAGAGCCCAGTATCCAAGCTTTGCACCCATGCTGCCCAGAATAGGGTAGAGATCTGGCCCCAGTCACCTGGGAAGTTCCAGGCTGTGATGGGGCCCAGCCTTGGGGCTTTCAGCTGCAGCTTTGCTGTGCTGGGTCAAAAGCAGTGGTTGCTCACTTTCTTCCCCAGTGTTCTCCTCTTTGTGAGAGGCGGGTGCGACAAGGAGACATTTTAGAGGGGGCCGTGGAAGGTTTTTTTTTTACACGTGTAGTCAGCACACAATTATCAGAGGCAAGCAGAGGCGTGGAAAATTCTAAACAAAGGCTGCACCAGAAGTCACTCTGGCAGGCAGTAAACCTGCTTAGTCAGCCACCACGTACAATCGCAGCACACGCAGTGCTCCTGAGAGCTGCCTGGAACCCTGGCTGGGAAGGGCAAGGGCACGCTGGGTCTGCAGGGGCTTCCGTTGTTTATAAAGCCACAGTTGATAATAGGGGGCCTCACTGTTCTCCTGACTCATCTTACAAACAGAAATTGGGGCCCTGAGAGGAGCTGGTCCAGGCCAGTTGGTGGTGAAGTCAGACTCAGAACCCAGACTCTTGAGCAGGCCATACCACCTCCCCCTGTCTGAGCTTCACCTTGTTGGTGGATTCCAGTCCTCTCCTTAACATTCCGTGGGGTCACTGTCCATCCCCAGCCCTAACCTGAGCAGAGATTTTGGTGTGAGGAGACAGACGAGCTCTGGGTTAGAAGTGAGTCCTGGTGCAAGGAGACTGGATGGAGCAGTGACCACTGAGCCGGCCCTTCCTATGCCGTTGTCACAGGCGGTGGCTTCTCTCCCAGCATCTACTCAATCCAAGTACCGTAGAGGCCTGTCCCAGCTCCCCCAGATTCATCACCCAAGACTCTCTCCACAGGGAGTAAAGAGGCTGCCGCCGGCCCCACCCCTCAGAAGCCCTGGAAGACCAAGAAGCGGGCCATGAGCAGCACAGCCTCTCTGCAGGCGCTGCAGAGCAGCATCTCCCAGCGTCTCCAGGACCAGCCCGGGCCCCTGAATGAGGCACAGGTGCAGGCCATGGTGGTGAAGGTCCTGACGGAGCTGCTGGAGCAGGAGAGGAAGAAGGCCGAGGACACCACCGGGGAGGGCAGCGGGAAGGGCCAGAAGCGGAAGCTGTCAGGGGACCAGGTGGCCTCCAGGGCCCCCAAGGGCAAGAAGAAAAAGCAGCTGGAAGCCAGGGAAGGCAGGGAGGGTGCTGCTCTCGCAGAAAAGGCCCCAAGGACTTCCAAGGGGAAATCAAAGAGAGACAAAGCAAGTGCTGACGTCAAGGAGCAGAAGGGATCTCCTGGCTCCAGAGGGGCCATGGACAAGCCAGATGGGGAGCTTCTTAAGGCAGAGGCTGGAAATCAGAATGACCCAAAGAACAAGAAAGAGAAGAAGAAATCGAATAAGAGTAAGTGTCCTTGCATCCCCAGACCCACACTGAGGATGGTCGGGCTCCTCGGCCACCTCCTAGTCTTGGTCTCTTTTTTTTTTTTCCACTTTTCTTTTTTGGTACTGGGAATTGAACTCAGGGCCTTGTGCTTGGCAGGCAGGCGCTGCACTGCTGAGGCACATCCCTGGCCGGGCCACCTCCTAGTCTTAGTCCTCCTATGGAGTCATTTCTGGGAGAACTGCATTCCAGAACACCTGTGGCCTCTGCCAGAAGCCAGAGGACTATCTTAGAGCATCCAGCAGTCACAGGTGCTTTCAGCTGCAGGCTGCTGGAAGGTCAAGCTCAGATTCCATCCTGACAAGGACAGGAGGTAGTGCCCTCTCCCTCTTTGGCCTGAGTCAACAGATCTTTGAGGAACCCTCTTATGCCAAGTCCTGGGCTACAGAATAGACCAGAAACCAGAGCGTTGGAATCCTCATCTTCTCTTGTCCTCCTTTTCCCCTAGTTTCTCTTTAGCAGCCCTTTATGAACTCTGTGCTTAGTCCTTCTGTCCTCAGGCCATCCCCACACTAGCGGTATTGTACCCCCATTTTCCAGGTGGAAAACTGAGACTTAGAGGAGAGGCTGCTCAGGGTGACAGTGGGAGCCAGCTCGAATCCTATGCAGTCTTCTCAAGCACTGCCCTCTGTGGCCTAAGTAAATAAAACCATAGATGCATAACGACCCAACTGCCTGCCCCGGAGCCTGTCCCTTTGGTACCCAGTCTTTCCTGAGTTCCCACTAAATGTGTGGAGTTTTTTTTTTTGTTTTGTTTTGTTTTGTTTTGTTTTGTCACCAGGGATCAAACTCAGGTCCTTGCACTTGCGAGGCAGGCGGTGGAACCACTGAGCTAAATCCCCGGACCTGGAGTTTTTAAAGTGAGTTAATTTAAGGACAGGGATGCAGCTCAGTGGTAGAGCATTTGTCTAGCATGGACTGAGACCCTGGGTATGGTATGTAGTATCATTAAAAAAAAAATAGGGCCGGGGATTTGGTTCAGTGGTTCTGTCACCTGCCGTGTAAGCACAAGGGCCAGAGTTTGATCCCCAGTACCAAAAAATAAAAATAAAAAGTAGTCATAGTCTGTGTGGTCCGTGGATGGGAAGAAATCATGAGGCCAGCCCCCAGAGGCCTGTTTTGTTGACTCCCCATGGAGTGGACAGGGCTGAGGACCAGCACCAGGAACCCAGGGGCCCTGCCTGGGAGGCCTCTAGACACTGACCCCAGCATAGGACTGACATCTGTTATTCAGGAAGCTTACTTTCTTCCCTCAGAAAAAAAAGACAAGGAAAAAAAGGAAAAGAAGAAAGGAAAAAAGGCTTCAGCCAAAGACTCTGATTCACTGTTCCAGAAGAAAAAGAAGGAAAAGGTAGAGAGTTCCTGGGCGGTAGTTTCAGGCCAGAAAAGGACCCAAAACCAGCCCTCGGGTGAATGTTAGCCCTCCCCACACCCAGATTTGGTCCACACCACCTTTCCAATCTTGAGCTGGGAAAGGGGACTTTGTAAGGAAGAGCAGGAGAGGGTGTGCCCCTCCCTGAGCCTCTGGAAGCCATAGTTGTGGCCCTGCCTCGTCTGAGGTAGAAGGATGTTGGCATTTGGGTGGGGGTGGGTGCAGGAAAGATTCCTGGGGGTGAGGAGACCGTGTAGACTGCTGCAGGCTTCCAGGTGCAAGGAAGCATTACCAGAACCAAGTGCACCCTGGCTAGCAGGGTCTCACCACGGGGAAGAAGTTGAGCAGGAGCCTTGGGCTCCTTCTAGGAGGGAACACAGGCACCAGGGATCCTGTGAGATCCCTGTAGACCCCCACGCATTCTGGGAAAGCCGCCTGTGCTCAGCAGTTAGGCAGCAGTGGTGGAGAGACAGCAGGGACCAGAGCCTGTGACATTTCTCTCTTCACAGAAGAAGACGGCAGAGCAGACAGTGTGAGTGGCCCCGGCACCAGGTACAGGTACTCTTCCTGACCGTGCTGTCCGTTCCTCCAGCGGCTCGGTGGGCTGAAGGGCCAGTGGGGCAGTGTCAGGAGCTGGAGCTGCAGCGTCAGAAGATCCAGAAGTCATGGCAGTGCCGCCCTGCCCTGCCTCGGAGAGGCTAGGCTTTATTCTCCTTTGTGAAGAAAAAGGTTCAGAAATCTGACTTCTGGCTGTTTCCTTCCTCTAGGAACTTCTTAGTGGAGTGGTGACCATCCCAGGCCTCTGCCCTCTACCTACCGTGGGTTGGGACTGAATTTGGACTTTCCCTCTCTCCACAGAAGATAGCAGCCAGCGGCACGGTCCTGGTGCTGGCCAGGCCAGCGGGCCTGCGAGGAAGTTCGGTCCAATGAGGAAGTGAGCCCTGCTCGTGGGACCTCGCCCCACCTTCCCCAGAGACAGGGCACCTCATATAGATGTGTACAGTATATATATATATTTTTTCAGTGACCTGCCCCCTCCTTCACATCCAACTTGCCCCAGGGCCTCCGACCTCCCACTGCTGTGCTTTACAGATGGAGCTGTGGCGTGCCACATGGTCTCTGGCTGATCCTGGGGCTTTGTCCTCTTTTAAAAACTCAAAAATAAAGGAAAGGTACAAGCTCCATTGCATCTGGGGCAAGTGCTGTGCAATGAACTGTGTGGAGAGGACAGTTGGTCGGCACCTGGCAGGGAGCAAGCAGCACCCCGGCCTCCTGCTTGGGTGCCGAGTGAGGAAGAGTGTCAGGGAAGTTGCTGAGGGCCCACTGGGTGGGACGAGCTTCCTGAGGAGGCAGCAGCTAAGCCTAAGGAAACAAAAGGCTGCTCCTGGGTGTTTTCTGGAAGCTGGAGTGGGTCTCAGACACCGAGGTGAGAAATGGGAGGGGCTCAGGATCCATAGCCGAGTTACCGCGTGACAAGAACAAGCTCTCGTGGGCTAGGAGGAGAACACAGTGGGAGCGATGGTAGAGCCAGGACGTGGCTAGAAGGCTCGTTTCTGGGCCTGAGCAGTGTGGAGCACTAGCAGTCCGGGCCGTTTCCTCGGACACTTAGTCTCCTGGAGACAGTCGGAGGCCATGCAGAAAGAGAAAGTGGGGCTGGAGGTCTTGGAGACCCGGGTGGCACTCAGGACCTTCGGCCACTCCCCACCCCTCCTGAGTATGTTGGTCTAGATCGAGGCGACAGACAAGTGACCTTATTGGTCTGTGTTGACCCACAAAAGTTTCTAAACTTCAAAAGTGGAGCAATCTTACCAACTTTCTTGGTGTCTTGGTCCTCTTGAACTTGAGTCAACAAGCCTGGCAGGAAGGGGGGTGGCTGCCACCTTTGCTGACACCTGACTAGAGCTGAGGAGTGGGTTGTGGGTCTGGCATGGTGCTCAGTTCTCACAGCCCCCACTTCCTGTCCGTTCTTGACACCACAGCCCTGTGTCTGTTGCCATCTGTCATCACACTACGCTGTTCTTAGTATAGAAATGGAATTGGGGACTGGGAAAACGGAAGCTGGACTAAGATGAGCTTCTGCTTTAAAAATTAGAGACAGTCTTTCTTTTTGGAAGGAATATTTGAGTGTGTGAACATGCAACTCAATGTGTCTGTGTCCAAAGACTGCAGCTTCTGGCCCACAGGCCTCTGTGTCCAGGCTCCTGGGGCTGCATCCCTGCACCCCAGCCGGGGTAAATGAAGTTTATCCCAACAGAAGAGCCAGTAGCCAGGATGTTCCACTTAACCCCTTTTATTCTTCCATGAGCCACGGCCCTGTGAGCTGATGACAAGCTTGGCTAAGCAGAGACCTGGGGGTTGGTAGGAAGTGAGAGGTCTGGGGTGAGGGGGAGGCTGGGTTTTTCCCTGGGGAGCTACATAGGAGAGGGCAGCAGATGTGTCCAGTCGGGTTTAGGGACGGCGTGTCCCTTCTCCCTCTCCATGAGTCTAGATCTCAGAGGCCCGTGTTGGAGACTGCTGTGATGTCAGAAACGGTGGTCAGTCGTGCTGCTGCCTGCCTCGCAAGTGCAAGGGCCGGAATTCGATCCCCGGTACCAAAAAAGAAAGGGTGGTCTGCCTAGTTTTGGTCCACTTCCTAGGGCTTTAAGGTGGGGTAGGCAGCAGGGCCCTCTCACATTGTCGTTTGTGCTGGTTTGATTTGGCCTCGTCCAAGGAAGATGGAAAAGTGGGCAGCACAGTCTCGTGGGGTGAGGTGTACAGTTATAGACGGAGAGGTGGGTTTGGGGGAGCGGGGAGCAAGAAAGCTGTGGCTGAGCAGAGCTGGCTAGATGCTGGAGACGGCTCCTGCTGTTCTTACATGAGCACTGTGGAGAGAAGCAGCAGGCAGAGGTTGGAGCCAACTGTGGTCCCTGTCCCCACGCAGCATCCGGGCCACAGAACAGTCGAGGGCTGTCCACCCTCCACTGTCCCTCCTCAGTCACAAGCGCTGTCCATCGGGGACTCATGCCCACCTCCTCCCTGCCCAGCCCTGTTCCTCGTCTGAAAGACGATCCCGGGGACGTTGGAGAGTGACCCGAGATGAACTGCAGGCGACCAGATGCCCCTCCACGGGCCCTTACCTGGGCCCAACTCCTGCTTGGTCACACCCAGCCCAGAAGAGAGGTCCTCGGCTTCCAGAGGATCTAAAGGGGAACGGCAGTTCTCTGTTACCACATACCCCACCCGCTCGGCACAGTGCCTGAGGGCATTCTCCCTGAGGTGGGCATGGGCTGGTGCCTGGGGAGGCAGTGCTCAGTACAGGGGCAGCGGGCTGAATGAGCCAGGAGCTGGGGTCCAGCGGACTCCAAGTGCAGGAGGCCAGCATTCAGGTAGATGTGTGGCTGTGAGAAGAGATGCTAGAGGGACAGACGAGACAGGTGCCCAGGCAGGTGAGTGGATAAAGGGTAGATGCGTGGCTCACAGGAGCTGCCAACCCCAGTGTCCTGGCCCCAGGTAGCCAAGAGGGCCCTGCTGCCCCTCAGCCTTCCTAGTCCTGCCTGGTCCTTGAACTACGGGCGGCCCCTGCTTACCACTGCAGTTATGGTGCCCACGGCTCCTGGTGTGCGGGACCTCGGTGCCGTTGGGGAAGACGCACCAGCAGTAGCCGGTGCTCCCGTGGCACTGGAGCGGCATATAGTTGCCATTCTCATCGCACTGAGGGCGGAACGTGCCTGGGTGGACAGCAGGGATGTGGCTGACCTCTTCCTGGCACTTGGATAATACTGAAGCGACAGGCATGGTGAAGGCGGTGAGTCGGACTGATGCCTGCGGCTTTACTCTGCCTACCTCAAACAGGAAAAGGCCTGTGGCCTTGACCAACGAGGACGTGCATGACTGGCTGGTTCACCCCAGGACACAGCCCATTAAAGTTTGGAGTCAACCTGTGGTTCTGACTTCCAGAGGAAACCGGTGGATACCTGGGGCATCTCAGCTCCCTAGTGCTGGGGCAGGAAGTACCCAAGTAGAAACGGCTTTTCCATTTGGGGGGGATGCTGGGGTGGATTCAGACATGAGCTAGGATTTGGTCAAGGGAGCATCTTAGTCCTTCGGATGGTTCAGATGGAAAAACAAGCCCAGGGCAGGATGGGCCGTTGACTTTTCCCTTTGTGACACCGAGCCCCGGAGGGACAGGCAGCACTGGGTGAGGTGGGAGGTGCCTGAGGCCCCCTCCTGGCACTGCTAAGGGCCCTGGCCTGGTGCGTTCTGGACTGTTTCACTCCGGCCCCTCTTGCAGTGTCCTCCACAGGGGAGGTGGCCCCGTGATGAACCTCTGTACCCTGTGGGCATTTGTAGAGGGAAGAACAGACCTGCAGCCGAGATGGGATGGGGACAGTGGGACCAGGGAGGAGCAGGAGTGGCGGGGTTGGGAGGAGGGGATGTTGCCAGGCTGTGGGGATGCCAGCGGCCCCGAGGCCCAAGACCCCTCCTTGTACCTTTGGGCGGCGCCTCGGTGGGCTTCTCCGGGGAGTTTCTGCTCATTTCAAACAGGAGCCAGTGGTGCATCCAGCTCTCAAAGACCTGGTGGGGACAGAGGTGGGGCTGGGCTCAGGGCCATCTCCAAACCCCGGCCCCACTAGCTTTGCACTGGGACAGAAGCATGGCGCGTCAGATGGGCCCAGCCCTGACACCAGGCACTCTTCAGTGTTCTGTGGGAAATCCCTTCTACCACCTCCTTCCAGCCTTGCCCAAGATAGAGACTGCAGAAGAGAAGGTTCCAATGTAGGAAACCTGCTGACCTTCCAGTCCAGGCTCTGCATGGTGTTCTTCAGGTGTTTCAGGTTCTCGAGGAAGCTCCCTGTCAGCTGCGGGTACACCTTCAGAGGATCAGACTGCTGCAGAGTGGCAGGGCAAGAAGGATGGTTTTTTTAAGAGCTCCCTGGCAGGGAAGGTGAAATGTGCAACCCTAACCTAACCCTGGTCTCCCGTTCTGGGGCGTAGACCGAGCTATCGAGCCCAGACCTGAGACCACAGCCGTCTAGCTGTAGCCGCAAGGCCCCAGGTCCATGTTCCGGAGCAGCTGTACCCATACCCCAGTCTTCCTGCAGACCCTTTCAGGTCTGCAGACCCTCAAAGCCACGTACATTTCCCTCATCTCCAATTGCCCACACCAGCCTGGGATTCCCATGAATTTAGTTACTGCCCATTGTGGGCCAGCAGCCTTGCACAGTGCCTAGCACAGAGCAGACTTGCAATGCAGATTTGGAAAGAAAAAAGTATCTTGAGTTACTTCCAAGATTTCAGCCTGTTTCTCCATCTCACAAACGTGGAGTCAGGGAGGCTGGACGGAACATGATACTGAAGTCCACTTGGGTTCCTTGGGCGAGTACTGTTAGGGGCTCCCAGTGAGCCAGGCACGCGTGGGCCCGTCCACCTTGCATCCTGCACTCACCAGAAGCGTGTGCATCACGTGGTCCTGGGTCATGTTGCCATACTTGGTGGCATTCTGCATAGGCTGTGGAACAAAGGAACACAGGGATACCCTCAGTGGCCTGAGCAGTCCCAGCCCAGCAGGCCCATCTCCCCACCTCCCATGTGTCCCTGTACCCTCCCCCAAGGTCCTCACTGGTTGCCCCAGCATCAGCCTTCCCACCCCCCACCCTCCCCGAAGTTTTGTGAGTAGAAACAAGACAGGATTATCAAGGAGGGGACTGTAATGTTACAAACAATGAGGCGCTGTAAACTAGCAGGCTGGGCCTTCCTCTTGTTCTGCTGTCTTGGGACGCCTCTCCCAGAGGTGGGCGCTGTACCTCCCAGAAAGCAGGACCCCCCCAAACCAGCTGGCCCTTCCCAGGTCAGCTGTCCTGATGGGCCTGGCTGGGGCTGTCCTTACCCCCTGGAGCAGGCCTTCCATGGGCAGTGCCCGCATCAGCATCGGGGTGGCCACCCGCATCTGGGTCATTGGCTTGGAGGCTGTGGGACAGGAAGTACAGGGTGAGTGGTCCCAGCCCCCTGGAGGGGTCACTCGGGGAGAAGGCAGTGGTACAGCAGTGCGGTCTCGGATGAGGGACGGGGGGGGGGGG